TGGGATTAGCTGGCTATTATAGAAGGTTTGTTGAAGGGTTCTCGACTATTGCATCTCCTTTGACAAAGTTGACTCAGAAGACAGTGAAATTTCAATGGTCTGAAGCTTGTGAGAAAAGCTTTCAAGAATTGAAAAAGAGATTGACTACAGCTCCAGTTTTGACGCTACCAGAAGGTACTCAAGGTTTTGTGGTGTATTGTGATGCATCTAGAGTTGGTTTGGGTTGTGTCTTAATGCAGAATGGCAAGGTTATAGCTTATGCCTCCAGACAGTTAAAGGTTCATGAGAAGAACTACCCAACCCATGACTTAGAGCTAGCTGCTGTAGTATTTGCTTTGAAGATATGGCGTCCATTACTTGTATGGTGTGCATGTCGACATATTCACTGATCACAAGAGCCTTCAATATGTGCTTACTCAGAAAGAGCTTAATCTCAGACAGAGGAGGTGGTTAGAGTTACTCAAGGATTATGACCTGAGTATTCTTTACCACCCAGGTAAGGCTAATGTTGTTGCTGATTCTTTGAGCAGGTTGTCTATGGGTAGCACCGCCCATATTGAAGAAGGAAGGAAAGAGTTAGCAAAAGATGTGCACAGACTGGCATGCCTGGGAGTCAGATTTACAAATTCCATAGAAGGAGGAATAGCGGTGACGAGCAGGGCCGAGTCATCATTAATGTCAGAAGTGAAAGAGAAGCAAGATCAAGATCCCATTTTGCTCGAGTTGAAGGAAAATGTTCAAAAGCAAAGAGTATTAGCTTTTGAACAAGGGGGAGATGGTGTTTTGAGATTTCAAGGTAGATTGTGCGTACCTATGGTAGATGGACTCCAAGAGAAGATTATGGATGAAGCTCACAGCTCCAGATATTCTATTCATCCGGGTTCCACCAAGATGTATCGTGATTTGCGTGAAGTTTATTGGTGGAATGGCATGAAGAAGGGCATTGCTGAGTTTGTTGCTAAGTGTCCAAATTGCCAACAAGTGAAAGTTGAACACCAAAGGCCCGGTGGTTTGGCTCAGAGGATAGAACTTCCAGAGTGGAAGTGGGAGATGATCAATATGGATTTCATCACAGGGTTGCCAAGGTCTCGCAGACAACATGATTCTATTTGGGTGATTGTCGACAGAATGACAAAGTCAGCTCATTTTCTACCGGTAAAGACTACCAATACAGCAGAAGATTATGCCAAGTTGTATGTTCAAGAGATAGTGAGACTTCATGGAGTCCCAATCTCCATTATTTCAGATAGAGGTGCACAGTTTACTGCACAGTTCTGGAAATCTTTTCAGAAGGGCTTGGGTTTAAAGGTGAACTTAAGTACTGCCTTTCACCCTCAGACGGATGGGCAAGCAGAGCGCACTATTCAGACCTTAGAGGATATGTTGAGGGCTTGTGTGATCGATTTCAAAGGGAGTTGGGATGATCACCTACCTCTCATTGAGTTTGCCTACAACAACAGTTATCACTCTAGCATCCAGATGGCTCCATATGAAGCTCTTTATGGGAGAAGATGTAGATCTCCTATTGGATGGTTTGAAGTTGGTGAAGCACAGTTGATAGGACCAGATTTAGTTCACCAAGCTATGGAGAAGGTGAAAGTGATTCAAGAGAGGTTGAAAACGGCACAGAGTCGTCAGAAATCCTACACCGATGTTAGGAGAAGGGCGTTAGAATTTGAAATAGACGATTGGGTATATTTGAAGGTTTCACCCATGAAAGGCGTTATGAGGTTTGGTAAGAAGGGGAAACTTAGTCCCCGGTATATTGGACCTTACCGCATAGCCAAGAGGATTGGCAATGTTGCTTATGAGTTGGAGTTACCACAAGAACTAGCAGCGGTTCATCCGGTATTTCACATCTCCATGTTGAAGAAGTGCATAGGCGATCCTTCATTGATCCTACCGACTGAAAGTATCAAGATCAAGGATAACTTATCTTATGAGGAGATTCCTGTTCAAATTTTGGATCGTCAAGTTCGTAGGTTGAGAACGAAAGATGTAGCCTCAGTTAAGGTCCTATGGAGGAACCAATTTGTTGAGGAAGCAACTTGGGAAGCCGAAGAAGACATGAAGAAGAGATATTCATATCTCTTTGAATCCGCAGATTAAGGTATTAATTTCCTTCTTAGTGCTCTATAAATTATAATGAGCATGTCGTTATTGTTGTTGTGTTTGCATGGTTGTTTGTTGGGTGTTGAGTTGATGTTACACCCTTAGCTTTGTAAGAGTTACCTCATTCGAGGACGAATGTTCCCAAGGGGGAGATATTGTAACATCCGACAATTTAAAAATGAATATGAAGAAGCTTGAAATTTGGAAATAGTCATTTTTGGAAAAATTTAAAATCTGGAAAATTTGGCTAAGTGTGGAAATCAGTGAGTTTTTGGCCAACTTTGAGCAGTCATAACTCCTAGATCAGGATTATTTAGGAGTATTTCCAGTTATGGTTTCGAAGCTTGTGGAACGATCTTTCCAACGCCACTGAGTTTTCTCGATTCCGAGTTCGTATGAGCGAGTTATGATCTTTGAAAGTTGGGCAGTTGGCAGGGATTCCGTTCCGGAAATTTAAGGGCATTTTGGTCTTTTCACAAATAATTTCTTTTGAGCTTATATTGTTGTATTAGGCTGATATTTGGATCATTTTGTCCCATTTTGAAAGAGAAAGAGTTAGGGTTCAAGAGAAGAAGAAGAGAAGAAGGAGAAGAAGAAGAGAAGAAAGAGGAGATCAACAAGATTTGTCAAGATCATTGTGGATTTTCGTCGGGGGTGATCCCTATCAAGGTATGTGAGTCTTTAGTGTGGGTTTATCCTTTCCCCCCACATACCAAGCTCGTTTTTATGATTTGAGAAGAGATTGGATTTGTTGTTGAAGTTGTTGAAGTTGTTAGTTGTTGTTGATGTTGTTAGTTGTGTTGTTGAAGTTATTGTTGGTTGTGGGACAGGATTGGGCTGTGTATTTGAGTTGTGACCTATTGTATATTGAGGGATTTTATGATCCTTAGTGTTGGTTGGTTCATACCCCCACACACAAACTCGTTTTTAATTCCAAGAGAAGATTTATTGGTTGTTGAAGTTGTAGTGGTGTTGTGTTGAAGTTCTTGCTGATTTAGTACAGATTTCTGGCTGTGATTTTTGAGTTGAATCTATTGTATAATAAGGGTCTTTATGATTCTAAGTGTTGCTGCTGAAACCTTGAGGTTGAGAGGGTTTAGAATTGGAAAGAAACAAGGGGAAAAAGTCGGATTTTTGGGGAAAAAGGGGTTGGGCTGTTGCACCTCTCCTAGTGCCAAGGACACCAATCCTTCCCTTTCATTCACCATTTCTTTTTTTATACATGTTCCTAGGTATTATACCTATGTTTCCTATTTGTTTCCAACACTCCAAGGTACTTCCAAAAGTCAAGTAAAACTACAAGTCAAGTGAAGTTAGTTTCCAAGTCAAGTGAAGTTAGTTTCCAATTCAAGTGAAGTTAGTTTCCAAGTCAAGTGAAGTCAAGCTTAGAAGTAAGTAAGTCAAAGCAAGTCTTTAAGGTTTTCCAAGAGTCTTCATTGAGCGTTTTAACTTCATTCTAAGGCTCAAGTTCCAAGTTAAGTATTGAGTTTCAAGTCAAGTCAAAAGTTAAGAGTTTCATGTTAAGTTAAGAGTTTCACATCAAGCCAAGAGTTCAAGTAAAGTAAAGAGTTTAAAGTTGAGTTCTTTTCTCAAAGTTATTAGGGAACTATGTATTCCCAAAGAAGTTTTAAAGAAATGTTTTTACATTTAAACAAGGTTGGAAACTGAGATTTCCAAAAAGCCTTCGGGCTAGTTTTTGAGTAATTATCTCATATCAGCAGGAAGAAATATGTTTTAAAAACATAAGAGCCAGTACATTTTTGGGAGTAGTATCGAGCACCGAATTGGGGGAGCGTTCAAAGAACCCACAGCCCCCATAGAACCATGTTAGCCACCATGGGTAGAAAAGGATCATACTTTTTAGATGAATCCTTTTCAGATTAGACTAGTGGATCCATTAGGCAGTTCAGGTCTTATACCTTTGGCCGGGTATAAGATGCTCTGGCAGCGTGAGGTCGATCGCTGTATCATCACTATAGCTCTTATGTGATGGTTGTCGGTTAGAGAAACTCCCACAGCAGTTATTGTATTTTTCATACACAGAGATTATTGTATTTTTTATATACATCAGTTCATTGTATTTTTATACACATTTCAGGCTTATTGTATCCTTGTATACACACAGAGTTCATAGCATGTTTTAAGCAATCTTTCTTTATATCGCACTTGTTTTAAATTGCCTTATATTGAAAGAAGTCAGTCAGGTTGAGTTAAGTTGAGCCAGGTAAGCTATTCAGTTTCTTCCAGTTTTCCTTCTAGCCTTTGTTGCTTAGTTTTCCAGCTTGCATACTCGTACATTCCATGTACTGATGCCAGTTGGCCTGCATCGTTTGATGATGCAGATTCAGGTACCCCGGATCAGCATCCTGCACGTCGTTGATCCAGCTGAGCACTCCAGAGTCAGTGGTGAGCCTCCTTGCATTCCGGAGGACTCAATTATTTTGTGTTCTTAGTTTTTGTTTTATTAGGATGTTGCGGGGTCTGTCCCAACATCCATCTCAGTATTTTAGAGGCTTCATAGACAGACAGTCAGTCAGTTAGTTTTGAGTCTCTCATCTATATATATATGTAAATATTCTATTTTGAGATTCGAGTTGCCTTTATGGCCATATTTTATAAGTTAAGTTGTTTTGTAATATTGCATTGCATTGAGTTATTCTGTTGAGGTTTCCGCTGAGTTAAGAAAGCCAGGCCAAGGGTTCGCTTGGGGCTAGAAATGGTCTCCGGGTGCCGGTCCCGCCCAGGGTGTAGGCTCGGGGCGTGACACTCTCGTCATTATGACCTGGTAATTAATCAACTTGCATATTATATCACCCAATGTAGGGAATTTCAAAGATTGCTAGTGAAATTAAAGTAGTTAATCCTGCACATACTTTTGCCAATTGCAGTAGATTTATCACTTCCTTCTTGTATTTTTTTCTTTTCCAGAGTAATGAACTCTTTTCACTCTTTCTGGATGAGACAATGACATACTCATGCGCAATTTTCAAGGTTAACTCTCCAAACTTTTTAAATGCTTGCCACTTTTTTCTTCGCATGTTAAGCTACATTTCTTCTTCCAAGGTAATCTAATAATCTATTATTCTTTCCGAATTTTTATAGAGTGAGGACGAAGACCTGAAAGATGCACAACTGAGAAAGATTTCTGTTCTAATTAAAAAGGTATTTCATCAACCAAGTAAAAAACTCTCCTGTTTATACCTAACTTTCAGGCATAATTGGATTCTGTTTCTGTTTTATTTAGGCAAAAATTAGCAAGAAACATCACATTTTAGAGATTGGATTTGGTTGGGGAAGTTTCGCGGTGGAAGTTGTCAAGCAAACAGGATGTAAATATACTGGTATAACTCTTTCGGAGCAGCAACTGGAGTATGCACAGTTGAAAGTTGAGCAAGCAGGCCTTCAGGTATAGTACTAATTATAATGTCTATATGGAGCTTGGCCAATATATTAGCCTTACAGAATTTCTGATTGTATGAATAGAATTGCTATAAGATGAGGCAAGTTATAAAGCTATGAGGAAATTCCACTTCATGTCCATATTCTTGCTTTCTGAACTGTGATAGCTCCTTAAAAAGCCAGGTTAGAGAAGTTATGATGCAAAATTAACTAAAATGCTTCACTATATGCTGCATTCCACATGATCTGTTTAGCACTTGCAAGCCAATTCTAAGGCCAGGGTTATCGATCTATTAAAATTCAGTTCCATGATATATTTTCACAGGATCGAATCACCTTACTCCTATGTGACTATCGTCTAATGCCAAATAAGGACAAATATGACAGGATTATATCAATGTGAGCTTTACTCCATCTACATCTTGACATATTGTATTACTCACTACATGTCGAGTCAGTGTTACAATTGTACTAGTTCATTTTCAGCGGGATGATAGAACATGTCGGTCATGATTACATAGAGGAATTCTTTACTAGCTGTGAGTCTGCATTGGGAGAAGATGGGCTTCTAGTTCTACTGGTAATGAATAAAAGTGAACCCTCAATATAGTCCACTTTGTTCAGTTTTACCCTTCAATTTCCTTCACTGTTCTGCCGCCTTTGTATCTTTATGTTGTTTCTCATAAGCTTTGGATCTACTTAGTTCTTTTCAATACCAGATGAGAGGTATGACAGTCACAGGCAGAGCACAGACTTCATGAGAGAGTATATATTCCCAGGTGGATGCTGCATCCAGACTATGGTAACAAAGAGTTCATTTTAGTGATTTTGCACTAGAGTGCTTGCCAATCTTTCAAAAGAGTTTCCCTGAAAGAATTTGATAAATGATATAAACAAATGCAGTGTAGTGATAGGAATTCATTACTATCAGACACTGAGATGTTGGCGAAATAACTTCCTGAAAAACAAAAGGTAACAAAACTAAAATAAATGCTTATAACTTGGACACCCTTCATGAAATTTTTGGCTACGTCACTGTTAACTAGACTATTGATGTATAACTGTGTCACTAGACAAATTCACGCTTTGGGATTCGATGACAAGTTCATTAGGGCATGGGAGTACTACTTTGACTATTGTGCTGCTGGATTCAAAACACGCACATTTGGAGATTATCAGGTATATATGGTGATAAATCTTTTAAATTATGTTAACTAGATCATCTAAAAATTAAGTAATTAGAGATGATATAAATTTTGAGTATCTTGTTTTGAATGACTTTATTAAAAAAACTTAAGCCATTAGACAGAACAAATTTTTATTTATTTCACCAAATTTGTAAGGAAAACAACTGATCAAGTGGTGCTTTCTTACCTCTGTAGATTGTATTTTCAAGGCCAGGCAATGTTGCAACATTTGGTGATCCTTACAATGTTACTGTGTCTACAGTGTATTAGAGTTTCGTTATTTCGATTATATATTGTAAATTTGTCTTTGCAAATAAATAAGTTCCTCAAAACAGCATTAAAGTCCTAATGAAGACATACCATGTGTCATTAGTTCATGCTGAATTATGTGATTTTCTTGTACTGTATGCCTAATAAAACTTATTAAAAAAGAATGAGGCTATTTTTCGTGATCTTGATCTTATTTTGGGATGTTATGTATGGTGAAAATGTACATGTGTATAATATGTTGGGAGTTCCAAGCTTTTCACAGATGAGTTTGAAAACTCTACTGGTGAGTTTTGCTAAAATTCAAATCTTTTACCTATGAAACTTCAGCACAGTGTGCTGAAGTTTTGCCATTAAATTCCAATAGAAATTACCAATCATACAATAATGGACAACAGGCCACCCGGTCCCCTCATTTGCTGCATCAAAAGCTTCACGTGAGCTACATCAAATCCAAAGGAAAATTACAATTGCAAATCAAATGGTTGATTATAAATTAGACGACAAATAAAAACATACTAAAGAAATATTATTAATATGGTTTGTCAAGCGATCTACGTATTGAAAACTAATATTAAAAAAAATTATAAATATGTTTAGGAGAAAATCTCTCCATAAACAATACTCTTAAATGACTACATTGTGGATGTTATGAGAATAGAAATCTTCAATTTATAGATCTCCAATTTTTTCCTCTAAGGAAAGAATAAATCAAATATGAAAGTGAATTATATTTTTTCTTTCGGAAAAAGTAAAACTCAAATATGATAAGAAAATCAGGGCAAAACTCTAACAAGAATCTGAAAGAGATAAGTATTCATTACTATCAGACAACTCAAATGTTGGCGAAAAAACTTCCTGAAAAACAAAAGGTAACCAAATGACTATAACTTAGATATCCTTCCTGAAATTTCTGGCTATGCCAATACTGTTAACTTGACTATTGATATATAACTCTGTCAATAGCCAAATTCGTGCTTTCATCAGGACATGGAAGTACTACTTTGACATGTAAAATATATAATTAATTTGATCTATTTATTATTGTAGATTGTATTTTCAAGGTCAAGCAATGTTGAAGCATTTGGTGTTCCTTTAGCTTATTAGAGTTTATAATAATTCTCTATGAAATAGGAACATTTAATTCGAGACTATCCCTCGTCGTAATACACTACTTAAAATTAGAAATGACTCCAAACTAATTCATGGTCTAGCATGACACTAAGATTTATACGCTGAATGTCTGAATTTGAAAGATGCATGTAAATTCAAATCTTTACTTAAATAGTCAAATGGAAAACATCTCAATAAATCATGAAGTTATAACTACTATTTGACGGTGTGTCTGAAAACCTCTATTAAGATGAGCTGAAAGTGTATCATAATAAACTTCGTTAATTTCTTATAAAGTTAGGAAAATAAATATTTACATTAACATCAATGAAACACTTAATATAAGAAAAATGGCATCAACATGTGTTCTGCATTGACTTATTTTAAGTATTTTAAAGTTAAAATAGTTTTAAGCAGTTTTATAGTATTTGAATAATTTTTTTAAAAAAAAATTATAAATAGTTTTAAGGTAAACTGATAAAAATAAGCCAAAACTGAAAAGTCAATCCAAATTGGCTCTTATTAAGTATCATGTCTGGAAAGCACATTTGCATGAATAAATATCCTTTATTTTTTGTTTTTTTTTTACACGACTCAAAATTTAGTCGGGTTTCAACATAAATAAGGATGCGGGGTGAAAAATAAAATTTAAAATTTAAAAGGACAAATTAAATTGGACTTTTCCTTGCTCTTGATTTGTCACTTGGGACTCTAGTTTACCAAGTGTAGTCATAGGTATCCATCATGCCACGTTTCTCTTAAAGTCCCCTTGCAAAGATGTGGTTTAAAAAATCGAACTGACTTATTCAAAATGCATGTGTTACTGACTTTATAATAAAAATTGACATTTTCTATTTTACATGGTTATTAATAAATTATTAATAGATTGATTAATTTTATTATTTTACTTTTTGTTCATATTAATTAGTCTCTTGAAAAAATCTGGGTCTTCAAAATTTGTTTAAATTCCAAATTCATATTATTTTAGTGGTAAAATGAGGAAAAAAATTAGTTATATTTTGATTTAATAAGTGATCAAATAATATAAGATAAATACTTCTAATAAGATGTCTATCTAATATGAGACGGAGGTAGTATAATCTTATTATGATTAGCTTCACTCTTCATGGTAACAACTTTGTTGATAACTCAAATTTCATCTTTTTCATTAATTTCCTTATAATTAAAGAGAAATTGAAACTAAATTACTCCACTTTAAATAGAGGTATTGAAGAAAATTAGTAGGGACTCTCCAATTTTTTTCTTGTATTAACCATTAACAAAGAATAGAAAAGTATTAATATAGAAACATTTAAACTTTTATGAATAAAGAATATGAAAGGTTAAGAAGCAATAGGTAAAATTACGTGATAATATCTATCTATTTATCTATCTATCTCTCTCTCTCCATTTTTTTTAAAACTAAGAATGTTGAAACTGTTTCACCAAATCTAAGAAGTAAAACAACTGATCAAGTGGTGCTTCTTATCTTATGTTTCAGCATTTGGTGATCCTTACAATGTTATTGTATTGAGATATGAAAAAGAAAAATTTGGGCTGGTTGACAATTGATATTATTCAGTTATATACTAAGAAAAGAAGCAACAATATGGTTTTGGAGTGGAACAGAAGAGGCAAACCTAACCAGACCAAAAAAGATATTATTGCAGTTCTATCTTACAAAGGGTTCAAAATATGAAGAAATAAATATACAAAGAAGTCAAAGGGAATTTCACATCTACTATATATACATAAAAATAATAATTATTGTAATTTATAATATTTTTACGTTATTTTAAATAATATATTGTCCCAATTTATGTGGCATACATAAAATTTTGAGAGCCCAACAAATTTTATATATGTTTTAAAAATATTTAAATTATTAATTATTATAATTCATTGTACTTTTTACATAATTTTGAGTTTCTTTTCTACTCACTCCTTTTCATTTCATTGATCGGGAAAAAGACTCCTTTTCCTACGGCCTGTTAAAAATAATATAATTTATTCAAAATTTATATTCATTAATACAATATAATACGATACTCCCTCTGTTTTTATTTATATGTCACTATTTTTTATTTTATGTGCATTAATAAATTAAGTAAGTTTACTATTCTACCCTTATTAAATTTTTTTTGAAGTCAACTTTTCAATCAATGAATTTGAACTAATTTATTTTGGATTAATTAATTTGACAAATGAACATGAATTATTCACTTGGTTTTTCTAGGTTGATCAAATATATATTTTCAAGGATAATAACTCAGAAGGGTAAAATAGGAAGAGTATTATAATTTATGCATTATTTTTATGAAATGACAAATATTATGGACCAACTATTATAGTAACGATGACTTATAAAAGGAAACAAAGGGAGTATATCTTAATTTTGTATTTGTATGATACAAATAGAGAATTACGATATACTCCCTCCGTTCCTATTTATATGTCACTATTTTAGATTTCACTTTCATTAAGAAACTAAGTAAGTTTACTATTCTATCATTATTTATTGATTTTTTGAAGTCAAGTTTTCAATCAATGAACATGAATTTATTTATTTCATTATTTAACTAGTGAACTTATCCGCGCTTCGCGCGATTAAAAAAGATGATAAGATGTCAATAATTTTATTAAAATATAATATAAATAGAAGAAATATTTATAATATATATATATATATATATATATATATATATATATATATATATATATATATATATATATATATATATTCAGACGTATAATTGATTTCATAAAGATAAGCGTTTGATTAGTATTCCCATGACTCCAAACAATGTCATAAGTTGTTTATTTGAACCAAATTTTTTTTTATAAACTTACAACAATAAAAAAAAAAATTGTATAAAATATAAAACAAAGAAAATTATGGATAGAACCTAAGATAAATAATAAATAATGTACATCATTATTATGATCTTAATTATTTAAAAAATTGAAGAAAAAAAATATGAAATCAATGTAAAAATTTTCTAACTCTTGTCAACATTCATTCCCACATGTCGATCATCATTCAATAGCCTTTCATTTTACTATTTAAGTCAAACAAAAACATGAATATAAGAATTACTTATCAAAAATATAATATCTTGAAGACTTATAATGTAATAATTTCTACAATGTTTTACCATGTCTTTATTTATAGAAACTACACTATAAATATCGAAATAATATAATGACTATTAATTATTTTTGAGGTTATGATAATAAAAAATTATGGGAGTAATGTAAATAAAGACTATCAAGTTTTAAATTATTAAAGAATATTAATGAATGGTTAATTGACATATTTATTATTTTACAATAATAATAGAGAAATAAAAAAAATGGTAAAAAAATAAAACTCTAGAGCAAATCCTCAATATTTAGAATGTTTGACAAAAGTAATAGAAAGAAAGGCTAATGAAATATTTTAATTAATTAAAAATTTAGCTTTTACAGAAATAGAAAAAATTACTATGAAGTATCATACCTTTTGAAGTATGACAGGTCAAGTATAAGGTGTTCACCCCTACAATTTAGTTGTCCATTAATGAGTGCCTAAACATGTTGAACATCATAAAAAATAAAAAAAAATTCATCAAATCAATAGCGAAATAATTGTTATATAACATGCCACAAAATCTCATATAATCAAATTTAATATTCTATAAAGGGTAGACATATGAGAATTGTCAAGAAATTTTATCACTATTCAAAGCAATCTAAATATATATAATCAAATTACTATTTGCTTCTACATAAAAATAAAACTATGATATACTTCGAAAATAAA